AGGTGTGACTGCTCTCTTGCTGTGAATGTGTTCTCAAATACAGAAAATATTTGACTGGAAGGAAGCAATATCTAACCCTCCAGGCAATGATTACTGAACTCAATTTGGTGAAGTGTCCTTATCTTTGACATTACAGTGAAATTTCAGAAGAGTGGCCTATTGACAGCTGACAGAAACTAAACTTGGAAACTGTCCAAGACAGAGCTACAGAAATCCTGTACACCAAATGCAAAGCACTTTTATGACAATCAGAATCTGAACACTTACGTGTGATGATGGTAGGAATTCTATGTAACATAAAGCGTAACTTGAACATTCCCAATCAGCCTCTGTTGTTGCCTTACATTTCTTGTGAATGTAGTTTAATGGTGGAGCAACAGAACGTGCTTCCTTCACAACTTTCTGCTTAATACACAGTGGTCTCTGATGGGGATAAAAATGTTGCGGAGAAGCCTCTGCACATGACTCTTTGTACATTCAAAATGAATGGCTAAACTGGGATGTACACTGCATGATTAGCAGGCCGTTAATCTGCTACTATAGGGACGTGGGTGGCACTGTGGGTAAAAGCCTCAGCGCCTAGGGCTTGCCGATTGAAAGGTCGCGGTTCGAATCCCCGCGGCGGGGTGCGCTCCCGCTGCTCGGTCCCAGCGCCTGCCAACCTAGCGGTTCGAAAGCACCCCCCGGGTGCAAGTAGATAAATAGGGACCGCTTACCAGCGGGAAGGTAAATGGCGTCCCGTGTGCTGCGCTGGCTCGCCAGATGCAGCTTTGTCACGCTGGCCACGTGACCCGGAAGTGTCTGCGGACAGCGCTGGCTCCCGGCCTATAGAGTGAGATGGGCGCACAACCCCAGAGTCTGTCAAGACTGGCCCTTACGGGCAGGGGTACCTTTACCTTTTAACCTGCTACTGCTTTGAACAGTTTTTAAAATTAACATTGAGGGGGATTTTACAAAAAAACAAAGCACCAAACAAATGTTTAAATCAGACAGGCATGCAAGATGCTGGGATAGGAGGGTAGAGAAGCTGCCTGAAGTAAAGATGCAGGGTGAATTATTGATAAAGCTGCATTTCCATGGGGTGTATCAACCAAGTCATTTAGAGCAGATCCTTTGAAATTAATGTCATGACTAACTTAGGTCCATTAATTTCAATGGGTCTACTCTGAGTAAACCTTAGTTAACGACAAGTCCTATGAATTTTATTACTCTAAGTTGCTTTGATACTCTTTTGGAGAAAAGTAGAACAGAGTGAAGACGAAATCAAAGATAAGTTCATGGTTTAATAAACTAACCAGGGTATTTATGTATAAAAAACGTGCCTGCCCTACAAGGCCTCAGAAAACGAGAATAAATTATTATTATGCTGATATGCAATGGAAGGTCGTTCCAAATGGAAGTGCTGACACACTAAAGACCCCATTCCAACATCAGGCAGAACAAATCTCCTGATAGGATGGTATCTGCAGGAAGCTCTATCCTGCAGAACACAGTGATCAACTGGGTATGTAGGGGGCAATGACTGGAAGTAACAGCGTGCATGCCGAAAATGGCTTTGTCATACAAGTGGATTGCTAGATGTTGTGCAATTAGCTTCTGAACCATCAAAAATAGTTCCATGAGCCTGTACATTCCAATGTCAGAGAATTATCTGCAGGGAGCCCATGCCACTTTGCTTACCTGAATCCTTGAGGACAAATGCAGGTGTACCCATTGACAGCATCTACACACAATGCACCATGACGGCATTTGTGTCCCGCACAGTCATCTTCATCAATTTCACAATGTTTTCCACTGTAGCCAGGCAAGCATTCACATCTGTAACAAGATCAATCAGTGAATCCATAAGCATAAATCAGTGTTCAGTTATATCAGCAAAAGTGTTTGTGATGTGAAGGTGAAAGTGCTATAGAAACCAAAGCATAAAGGCCCACAGCATACCTCAATATATCTGATGAGAAATAAAGAGTGTTAGTATAGTATTTGTTTTTGCAGCCCATAATAGGAGGCTGGGTGAGTACAAATATTGACTTGAATCCTGAGAAGTGCCAATGGAAGGGGGATATCAGAAAGATGACTGTCACAACAACACCTGGCAGCCCTTAATCTCCCCAAAGCTGCTCCTGAAGGTCAGGGAACCTTCTGAAACTGGGTGGACTGTGTCACTGCAGGTTGACGGGGAATTGCATCACAGCCCACTATATCCAGGAGGGTCCTCCCATATTTCAGGGGAGGCTTTTCAGGGGCTGCAGAGGAGAAGGAGGCAGAAAGGTCCGCATCCTTTCTGCCGGTGCTATTCATATTAAAGTGACAGGAGTCCTATATTGCATTGCATATATATAATTTAAAGTATGATGGGGAATCTCTGCCTGCAGGCAAAACATTGCCCGCTAGATGTTCAAACTTGAGCAGCATGGCTGATTTCACCAAACCACACCCACTTGCTCGACACCTGACATCATATGTGATGTTAGGTATGGGGCAGGTAGAGATGTGCATTGGTAATGGAAAACAAGTCTTTGGCTCTACCACCCATCAGCGGATAGAAGGTAAATCTGAAACCTGCCAGATCAGGTGTGCAAGCAAGTTTTCCATGGGGAACTTGCAGACACACCCAATGACTACAGAAAGCTAGATTTGGCTCTACTGTCCGTCAGCTGACTTCAAAGTACCCAATCACAAGGCATCACTATGACATCAGGTGACTGACAGGTGGGCACTCCCACCTGCCCGTCAAATTTTGCTCTCTAAGGTAGATCCTAATAAGGATCTGGCCTGTGGAGCCAAAAAGATCCCCCAATTTCTATTTTAACGTGACAGTAACAAAATAGTGTAAACATTCTTTGTTAAAGCCATTGTAACTAATTGAAGTTAAACCGTATTCTTTAATAAGTAACCATACATACTAACATCACTGTTTATAGTAATAACCATTTAAAGCAAGTTCTTGGTCATTTAAAGCAGGTCTCTCAAATCGTGAAAACATTTAGATAAACTTCATAATTCCCTCAAGGTAGTGTATAGTGAAGCATTGTATCTTATGGAAATGACAATCACTTAATAAGCCTGCATTTGAACTGTAATTATAATGAAATGAAGCAATAAATATTTGTTTCTCAGATCTTAATATGAAGATAAAAGAACAAGTTGATGCCATTCCACCACCTTCAGATGGCAACTCATTTCTAGAAAGCAGACTGGAGGATCCAAAGTAACAACAAACATAAGCTATTATATATTTATTACTGTTGTTAAGTTGCTTGTATTAAAGTTGTGTCAGCATTTCCATTATATACCCTATTTTCCGAGGTTTATTACTCAACCATAAAAAATGTGCTCTAGGCTGAAACTTGGCATTCAAGGTCTCAGGCCAGGGGGAGCAAATCTCTCTGGAAATCTAGGCAGTCTCTCAAATCTTAGACACTATGCTTTGGACTGGCTTGAATGTATTTCAGCCTATAAACCACATTTCAAACCTCCCAGCTGGATGTTGCTGTACAGCTGGAAATAATAAGCATATCATTCAAACCAGAACAAAAGAGAAACATCCATTACTTCCCCAGTTTAGCATATGTTACATATTTTGGAGATTGTACTTTCGTATACCTCTGAACTCTGGATGTCAACAGTTTATTTAATTCTAATGCTAGCCTCTTTACTTCTAGATTTCCTCCTGCACTGCAAAAAAGACTGGTGCAGAAAGCTGGAAAGAAAGGTGTATTAAGATTAAGAGGAAATATGTGGGATAACTCCATGTCACCTTACTATGTGGTTGTATTTAGTGGCCACAGGAAGTAAGGGCATAAAAGAGACAGAGACTAGACAATCTATAGATATGGAAACTGATCCATCTTATTGTCAGGGAAGAGTTAGAGGTTTTCAGTTTATCAGAGGGAGAAAGCATTCCCCAAGGGGGGGAGGAGAGCAGTGAATCTAATAGAAGGGAGCAAGAGGAACAACAGGGAGGGACCGACTGTTCACAGGAAAGGCAAGGGTTAAGTTCTAGCTCAGATTCGGAGGAGGGGAGATACAAGCCAGCTCTAGCCAGGAGGTTAGAAAAAAGAGCGGGAAAGCGAATGGAAAGGCGCCTTCGCCATTTTGAGAGTGGCTGGTCATGGAGAAGCAGAGCTCAGAAGGTATCTGAAAGAAGTGACTCTGAGGAATAATAGTTAAGAACTGTTTATAAGAATGTTTTGTTAATACGCAATAAAAAGTTTTATAAAAGAACAAGAAGCGTTTCTGTGGTGATCTGAAGAGGACAACGACCAGTCCTGACACTTATGTTTCATGGGTGTTTAAATAGTACCCAGGGGAAACAGATTTCTAGTCTTTCAATGTATCTGGATTACTAATTTCTAAATTTGTAGTTTGCATCTGTATGTTATATATTGATACACGAAGGTAGTTTTATACACTTCCATTCCTGTAGCCCAAAGCAAGTTAAGACCCTACATATTTCAGAATCAGACTTGTTTTATATGCAGACACCGTAGGCATTTGAAGCTGTATGAATTGTGCTCACTTTCACAGGATAGGTTGTAATCAAGGTAGGGTGGTCCTGTTCCCTATTTGAAGGACCATTGGGTCAAAGTCTGGTTTAAAGATAAAGAACCACTTGAAGGAAGAGCAAGGGCTTGAAGTTGCCTCTGGACAGCAGCAGCCTGAGAGATAACACAGGCCACAGTTTCCCCTACTATGGTGAGATGTAATATAGTTCTGATTATCATAATTATTTCTAAATTTGCATCTATACATACAAATAATAAAAATCAGTATGTGCTAATTTTATGCAAATTGATGGCCTATTCTTTTTGAATATGCCTTTTCTATGTTTAAGTAACCACTTAAACCAGAGACATGGTCTTTAAAGTGACCAGCAACAAAGTAGTTGGTCTTCTCCTTTTTGAATGTGCAAGGAAACGCACTACTCCAGTTACAAGTTATTAATTGCTATTACAAAATATTAACTATTATTACAGAGCATAAGCACTTGCTTGATTTGATCAACAGGGAAGCATAAGGCTGGCTCAGATATTAGCTCTTCTACTCCCCTCATTGCAGGTAAGTTGTTACTGGAAGATCTCTCATTTAGCTAATCACAGCTTATTTGTGGGACGTGGGTGGCACTGTGGCACAGAGCCTAGGGCTTGCCGATCAGAAGGTTGGCAGTTTGAATCCCCGTGACGGGGTGAGCTCCCGTTGCTCAGTCCCTGCTCCTGCCAACCTAGCAGTTCAAAAGCACTTCAAAGTGCAAGTAGATAAATAGGTACCGCTCCGGCAGGAAGGTAAACGGCGTTTCCGTACGCTGCTCTGGTTCGCCAGAAGCGGCTTAGTCATGCTGGCCACATGACCTGGAAGCTGTACGCCGGCTCCCTCGGCCAGTAAAGCGAGATGAGTGCCGCAACCCCAGAGTCGGCCACAACTGGACCTAATGGTCAGGGGTCCCTTTACCCTTTGCCCAAAGTGAGACCAGTGTCAGACTTGGAGCTCTCAAATTTCAGTGGCACCCTGTGTGATGCCAAAATTCAGTGCCCCTGCCTCTTACTCTCTGTTCTACAGCATTGTTGTGGCAGCCCTGTTGGGTGTGGCCAAACCTGGTGTCAGGTGTGGCCAAACCTTCGCACTATCCTAAAACCGCCTCTGGTGAGAGGGGCAGGGGAGAGGCATAGAGGAAGAGAAGAAGGAACATGACACTCAAAGACTAAATCAATCGCTCTCTTAGGTAGAATGCCAGCAGCCAGGTAACATTAGAACAGGTCCAAAAGCTCCGATTTAATTCCAAAAATTCTAAATTGGCACAGTTGGATCTATTTTACAACCAAGTAGCTGCAGAAGAACAGCAACTGGGAACGGCTTTTAATATAACCGAAGGATAAATGAAATGTTTTAGCTTTCAAATCCTGGACCCTGAGAGCTGGCATCTTCCTTATTCCCTACACTTCTGAGGCATCTGACTAGAGGAGAAAATTACAGGAATTTTAGGTCAACCAAACCATATCTTCTACCACCTCTATTGCTGTTTTATTTCCTGTAATTTCAATTTTTTTTAATTTTAATGTTATTGCAAGTCACCTTGGAATTTTTAAACTGGAAATGTGGCTTATAATTTTAAATAACGAAAGAATAAATAAAAATGAAATGAAATACCTAGGGAACATGTGTTAAAAAATCAGGTAACCTATAGGTTTTCAACAGCATGCAATTCTCCCTCTGCATTTTCTGAACTCAGCAGCCTTGTGAAGGTGCTACCTGGAACTATTTGGTGGAACACTAAAACCTTCTGCTAAATCCTCCCTAAGGACCTGCCTTTTCAGCATGTCTGAGAGCACTTATCATTATTCACCATTTCCTATGAATAGTGTATCTCTTTTCTCTTTCTTATGGCTTACCTCACAATCTAATGATTTCATGCCTCTTTTGACAAGTTTGTACACCATCAGCTCTCCATTATAATCTCCATCCACAGCCTATATACCTGATCCTGCACTCATTCACATCACATAAACATCTACAAAACATTAGAAATCAGGAAACAATTGTCTGAAGGCACTAATTCCAGAATTCTATTGCCGTTCAGAACAATAATTCTGTAATTAATCATCTCTGGAACAGAAAAAAAGCAAGTTGGAGATCTGGGACTATTCTTTCTCAAAAATGTAGCAAATATATAGCAAAACAGCTCAGCAATGCTTCAGGCACGCTGGCATGCAAACGGTATCCATCATAAAGATGCTATGGGAGGAAATAGCAGCATTTAATTCCTGTTGCTTTATCGATCCCTCTTGTCCTAATATAAAGTGATGTAATAATGAACGATGTGCAGGTCCCTATTCAAAGCTGCTATGGATCACTTTTATGATGTGTATTGCTATCACAGTAATGATAGAACCACCACTTTTCTTGGAAGAGCTGTATTAAAATCAGTGCTTTATTCTGTCAGGTAGTAACTCCAAGCTCCAGAATAATAAGATTATTTATAACAATACTCTAAATACGTACATTCTGGGCAATTGGAACAACAGGTTTATTTCTGTGAGAGATGAATTCAGTTTAGTTAACTGTATATACTGCTCTGGACATTTTTGCGGAGAATGACATAGAAATTCTTAAAATAAAAAATGAAACAAATTGCAATTAATTATGTAGAGGGGCAATTATATATATATATATTTAAATGCCCCCTTTCAATAATCACAGCCATGGAGGCCAAAATAATAAAAGTGATCCAAAATATGTTAGTGGCAGCAAATACTTCAAATTATTGCTTTCACTTCCCTAGGTGCTGATTTCCCCCACCTTGTGTTACTGCATTTGTTTTGTTACTGCTGAGTAAGTATTCCCTCCCCCAAGTAACTACTAATTACAGTAAAAACAAATTACCCAGATTTCCTTTATCTCCATAAATGGTGACATCATGCTATGCAGGGATAATTGAAACGGTAATATTTAACTTACCATTCTTTCTTCGCTTTGAAAGAGGATTATAAGTTCAAGATTCTCTGTTAATGCTACTGTGGGAATTCCAAAGCTAGTTTTTGTGGACCTCGCTTTAGATTGTGCCTTATTTTTGGAAATTTATTCCATCTTCTCCAACTATATTTCAATCTAGATTACCTTCGGTTTGCCTTTGATTCGATGCCCTGCTAATGCTACCTATAATGCATCTTGTTCCAAAACTAAGAATACTGAATTTGCCATTATTCCCAGCCGACACTGGTTCTCCAAAGCATGAGTACATGGCATGGTAGGTTAATGCATGCCTGCCCTCTAATGCTCAAAGACAAGGAAACCACAGATCTTGTCCTGTTACTTGCTCTCCTGCCTCCTCCCTCCTCTGGATCACATTTCTTGTCTTGACTCAGAGCAGGAATGTGTGTGCACTCACCAATTCTTCTACTCCTCCTCAGGTTTTGTATAGCTCGTCAATAAAAATGGACTGGTCAAAAGAAGGAGGGAAACAGGAATGGAACAAACATATGTGTTTATCTGACTTACTGGAAAAACAAGAATGGAGCCATTACCACAACACCATGTGTTTAACACCTCTTAGAAACACCTTTCAGGTGAGAACAGTTCCATTTCCTGATGCTGTTCTTCAGATGCATTCTGTCCGGAGAAAACAAACAAGAGTGCTCTGACACAGAGCTTGAAAGTGCTGACTGGGCGTGGAAAATGTGGACAAAAGTTAAGTGTGAATAAGTCCAGAGATGGAGAGATTCGGTGGCTGCAATGATATAAAAGGTAAAGGTAAAGGTACCCCTGCCCGTACGGGCCAGTCTTGCCAGACTCTGGGTTGTGCGCCCATCTCACTCAAGAGGCTGGGGGCCAGCACTGTCCGCAGACACTTCCGGGTCACGTGGCCAGTGTGACATCGCTGCTCTGGCAAGCCAGAGCCGCACACGGAAACGCCGTTTACCTTCCCGCTAGTAAGCGGCCCCTATTTATCTATTTGCACCCGGGGGTGCTTTCGAACTGCTAGGTTGGCAGGCGCTGGGACCGAGCAACGGGAGCGTACCCCGCCGCGGGGATTCGAACCGCCGACCTTTCGATCGGCAAGCCCTAGGCGTGAGGCTTTTACCCACAGCGCCACCCGCGTCCTACAATGATATAAAAGGCAACATGGCAGCACCAAGAGTGGTGAATAGAATGACTGTAAAGGGGATTCCGTGTCAAATTGAAGTGTCAATTGGAAAAGCAGGATCAAAGAGCAGACTCCTCTTTCCACTCATCCTCAATGTGGAATTCCATAGGCATTTCTCGAAACAACACTCAAGGGAATTTTGTTATTAGGATACATGCTCCCCCATGTATTTTACCCAAGGCCCATTCTGAACTAATCATATGTGTTTGCTTACCTGTATTCTTGTCAAAGAGATACATTGGAGTCCATGTTTGCAAGGATTTAGCTCTGGGACAGTGGTTGATCACCTCATACATAGTCCCCTGGGTAGAAACAAATTAAGAGGGCTTTAAAAACAACTCTGATGTGAGACATTGGTTGATTTTCTTGAACTATCGTGGAAAAAAGGTTTAGGGACAAATGGCCATTGAAGAATAACAGATTAATGCAAAGGTCTGATGGTGTGCGGACTAAAGAAAAGTGAACCCACAAACTGTTGAACAAGCTGAATCTTGAGGCACAGATTAAGGGCTTATCCACACTTACTGTTCTCTGTGCTTTCAAGGCGCAGTTCGCTCTCTAAAGCTCTATGTCAGAGTGATCTTTTCTTCTTCTTCAATGCTTTCCTTGTGAAAACCCAATCTTTATGGCTGAATTGGAGCAAACAGCAATTTGGGGTTTCGGTGGATTGGGTTTGCTCCAATGCAGTAGTAAAGAGTGGGTTTTTGTGGGGGAAAAGCTGGGGCAAAACAATAAGCTGTCAAACATGAACCTGGAAAGTCCAGACATGCATGGAAGTCAGAGCAACGGTAAGCATGGATGAGCCTTTATTGTGGCCTAAGCCTTTCTGGACAAGATGAAAAGGCATCTGATGAAGTGTTATCAGGCCGCAATAAACCTGTTTGCCCAAGGTGCCACAAAAGTAAGTTGTTTTTGTTGCAACACACTGCCACAGCTGCCCTCGGGATTTTGGAGCGAGCTCACTACCTTACACCAATAATTATATCCATTTCAGTGAACAGGTTTTACAACAGGATAGAGAGTAATATCACATACACTGTTCCTTGCTTTGGACAACATTAAGCTTTAACTGGTACTTGACCACATGACAAGGTTCCCTGATCCAGCAGCAAAGAGAACTAGTGACTCATTTATTAACATGTGGAGTAACATTATTCTGCAAAAATGTTTTGAACAAAGCACTAACTTTCATTTAGAGCCAATGTTTTATTTTTTCCTGCAAGAATATTGTAAGTTTATTCAAAATGGTAAAAATAGTCTATTTTGTAATGCTAAACAGATTGAAGACTTCATATGATTAAATAAACATCTACAAAAAGAGCAGAGAACCTCCTGAACTCAAAGAATATGCTGTCTTCTAGGTAATATGGCCTCAAGGGCAAGTAATAGTTCAGCTGGTTTTCGTTATTACCTGTTCAGTCTGAGGTCTAGTTTTGTATTTTTAACTTCTAATAATGAACCGATCACAATGTTCAAATCCAGCCCTATTTGGTTACCTTCTGTAACTTAGACTTGAGATATTGCCCATGGAGGACGGCAAAACCCTTTTTGTATATGTAATATCTGGTTTATTAAACCCTTATAACATATTTGTTCCAGAAGTCTACTGAGCAGTTTGAGCCACAATGTAAAATTGCCACAGATAAGTCCTATATATGTAGATAGCCCCAACATGCATTTCAAACACATAACTGTCTCTAAATAGCCACAACAAAAGCTTCCACTGGCAAAAATGAAGCTGTAAATATGCAAACAGATCAGAGTCAATTCATATTTTGCTATATATTCAGCTTAATAACAAAACTCATTACTGGAGGGAAAAACCAAACAATAACATCCTACAATATTACTAGTGCTTATGGCTAAAGCACTGTACACTCACAAACCTGTGCTAAGTGTCTGTTGTAAATGATGCCAAAAGGAATTGAAGAAAGTCAGAACCACATGGGGTTCCCCTAACTATAAATAATTTATGGCACTCACCTTGCTTGAAGGGAGGGGAGCAGCGTTAACTCAAGTCAGATTCAGGGGAATGACCAAATGAGTATTCAAAAAGTATATGGTTGCGTATAGTTACAGCACAACTCAACCACTTTCATAACTTGCTGCTGGTTCCCAGCAGACGCTCCAAAGTGCTAGGCCTATTGCGTATCAATCTGGGATTTTCTTACAAAAGAGGGGAAATCAGTTTGAGGTAGTACTGGAACAGTTATAAATCCAGCTGACACCTGTTCAGTTCTGCAGAGAATGCCAAACCAGAGAGTTTTCTTTTCTAAATCAGGATAGTGCATATTATCTTGTGGATGCTTCGGCAATAATAACTATTTATATTGTCTAAGCACATGGGGGGGGACCACAAAGCATGAATTTATGCTGGCATTGCAGATTTGTTATAATGGAACTGCATTCAAATACTAAAACAAATGTTTGGAGACTGGGGAATCCAGGCAATTTTCTGAGCATCACAGCTACAAAGTGGTAGAACCATTTTACCAGGAATTGGCACCTGTCAATAATGGCCCAGGCCTTCTAATAGTTTTAAGGATCTCACAACTTATTATGGAACTAAGAACTTTGCTAAAGCTGAAATTGAATTTTTCTAGTACCAATGAGTTGTAGTAAATATCTTATATTTTGTCTGTTAGCCAAACATATGAAGCTTAATTTTATTCAACAAGTCATCTTTCACTAACAGACAGAACTACTGCCTGAACTACTGGGTCATGACCAATCTCTCCTACATTTGAAATCTTCATTTAAAGAATAAAGAGGCAGGTTCAGATAAATAATTAAATTATATGCCATCATTTTTCTCCACTGATATCATTTATTCCCTGAGCCCACACCCGCCTGGAAATCATTATAATAAATTCAAGTGTAATTAAGAACACAATTCTATACTCATTGATTCAATGAAGCTTCCTTCCAAGTAGGTAGAATATTGTAGTCTCAATGTCATATTTAGTAGCCAACTAATACACTTTCAGAAAAATGACTTTTAGCAAAATTGAAGCAGTGCTACTTACTCCTCCAATTTGTCAAGCCCAAAAGTAATTTCTGAAAGAAAATCTTAAGAATTTTGCATTTTCCCAGACCATATGCCATCCCTATGCCTCTACAAGAAAGCTTCTTCCTGATATATAAAAGATATGAGCTGCCATCTAGTTCCTTGCTCTGCCGAACTACAAGACCTAAATCTGCCATTTTAATTATGCAATAAGCAAGAAATCTAACCTTACTTCTATCATTTCCACAGTAACTGAGCTGCTTACCACATCGTCTCCAATGTGCTTATCCACATGGAACTGTGTGGTAATTTTGGCACATGGTTATTAAACCTACAGATTCACAGCATGAAGCTTAATTCTTGTTTCTGAATCACTTCTCAATGACATCACATTTCCTCATCTCAACTTTTGCATGTAAACTAAAACATATAAGATAAGATTTTTTAATCTATTATTATCACCTCTATTTTTTCATCATTATATTTTATTTGTAAAGCTTTGAAAATTACAAAATACTGTGTAATACATTTTTAAGAACAGAATTCTCTGCCTCAGGGCTAATTCTTTGCCTCTAGGTATAGATGCCATGTGTCATAAAGTTTTTTTAATTGCATTGCTTGAAATAAAAAGTATCTTTTTCAGTACCATACTAAACTGAACAAGAAACCTAAAATATAATTTACTTGCAATACCAAATTATATTTTGGCTTGTGCTAGCATCCTCTAATGTACTAATATTTTCATATTTTGCATTTTTTAATGCAACAACAACCACCCACCACCCTTCACCCTAACGTTTCAGAGCAGGTTACAACATTAAAGCAGTTTAAAGTGGCTTAAATTTAAAATAATATATTTAACAAACTTTATCATACACTGGATTAATGTGTGAATGACATTCCTAGTTGCACAGTTAGGATCCTTTAGCGCTGCTTTGTCTTATTTTTTTATTCGTACAATTTAACTCATAAAATATAATAAATGAGCAAC